CCCTACAGATAGATCTCCAAATACTTCTACGCCAATTTAGCAGATACTATTTAAGAGCTCAAAAACTCCCATTTGGAACCATGTAACAACTGCACTCATCTTAAAACACAACATTAAGTAGATTAAACACTGCAAACGAAGGCCCTAGAATGATCTAACCATTGAGGACCAAGTGGGTTATTTTTAGTCCCAGATTTATAAACCCACTATTTAATTAGCATGGACACCACCAAAACAGCTGCTGCCACTGGAAGAGGTTTGTTCCTTGCCCTGAATTCCTACAAATACTCTTAAGAATAATTCTACACGCCTGGCTTTCTGATACCAGATCCGTTCACTCCAACTCCACGCACACAAGCCCGTGTTACACGCACCATCTAGTGGCAACCCTGCAAACGTGATGTTGGGAATTACAATCTTGTCCCAAAGAGAAATCATTGCTGAAGTCTGGAATGGACTCATCACTCTGTTGGGGACTTACAGCTGATTGAAGACAGCAAATCTTAAAACTAGAAACAAGCTGAACACTTGGGGGTGCCTGGTATTCACAGAAACACTGAACTAGACCATTCACTGCAAAGCAAATCGGTGCCAACATACCTAACGTGAGTTCTGACGAGACACAGGGGTGCCAGGGAGATGTTCTGTGTGCTTCAGCGCCTTACACAGCAAGTGTAAATGTTTTATGTTTGCTGCTGCTAGTGATGGGGACAGCACATAAAACATAAAGAGTCTGCACTGTGATGCATACACTCTGACACACAAGAAGCCCCCTAGAAAGAACATGAAATTAAAAATAAACCAAGGATAAGAGTCAGCTGAGTCTCATTCCTGGGAGAAGAGGAAAAAAAAAAAAAAAAAAAGGAAGAAATCTTCACTTTTATTCTCCCCTTCTGGTAAATTAATAGAATCATTGAATCCCTTCCTGCTGCCAGACCCCAAGTCTACTTTTTGGGGTCTCTGGGGTGGGGAGGGTCTACTGGACCCAGACAAAACCTGTGGACCCTACACTGCACAACCAACCCTACTGACTGGCTTGGGAAGGGCAGAAGATGGCCTGATATGAAGACAAGAGGTTGAGACCTGAGCAGGTTTGGACACAGGTTTTCCACACCCTCTGGAGGCATTATTAATCAGGTCTTCACTTGGCAATCCAAACCAAACTGATTCCAGCAGCTTCCTGGTTTGCAGTTCTAGAAAGTCCCAGGAAGCACAGGGAAGTCTTTCTGGCGTTAGCAAGTTTCTTCCATGCTTCCATTTTACCCTCCACACACTTGGCTCACTTCGGCTGTATGTGCCACTCTTCAGGAAAAGCTTTAGGAATTAAATTAAAATATGAATTAGACTTCAAGAAGGTTTGAAACAGATATTGGATTTATTGGTCAGCTATGAGTAGGAAAATACATTGGTAAAGAAAAAGAAGACCCTGTATATAAATATAATACTAACTAGTTAAAATTTGACCAAGAAGAAAGTTCCACTGAAGAGAACAGTAAAAGCCCTTGTTTACCATCAGACCATATTCAGTTTCCCATTTATCTTATTGAAGAGCTGCCTATAGACAAATGCAACATTCTTTGAGCTTAGTGCAGATAATGTGCTGGTTTTTGTTACATGAATGGTAAACAAGAGTTAGTCCAGTGCATTACACATTATACAGAAGTACTGTGAATAAAGACTAAGATATTCTATTTTAGACACTACTTAAACATACCAAGACACTTAAGTGTTACAAATTTATGCAACCAAAAGAAAAGAATAGCAGTTAACATACTAAAAAATACTGCGTCGGGCTGGATGAAAAAGGCTTGCTACTTAAGCAGTTAACTGAACTTTTTTAAAGTTTTACAGTGTAATTAGTTTGGTTCCCCCCCGCCCCCCACAATAGTGGTGTAATTATTTTGTCTTTCATACAGGTTTTGTTTGGTTGAAAAAGCAAACCATAAATTATTTTCTAAATCTGGTCTAAAAAGCCCCTTGAGAGGTTTGCTAAAGTTACATCAAAGATGCATACAATGTTCTCAAAGTCAGTCTTGTCAAATGCTAGCCAAATTTACCTTCTTTCTTTTTTTAAAGCTGATAAAAGGACAAAATAATTACAACACACATTGATATAGATGCTCTTTCCCCACCCCTACTTGTGTTACGTTAAAAGCAGTAACTTGTGGTATTAGTCTTGTACTCTAATCAATTCTTTTAGTTAAAGGTATATTTCAATTTACACTTCTGACACCCAGAATTCTTGGTAAATGTAAAGAAAACTAGACAAGATATGGCTGACTGTACTTTAAGTGGAAAAAAGCCTGGTCTAACCTAAATAAATCCTTTCAACCCCAAGGATGCTCTGTGACTTTTGCTATGTGTGCTTTTACAACAAGAACACTGAAGGTACATTATGGCAACACCCAAAACCACCTCGAATAAAAATATTGCAAATAACCATTTTATGTTAAAAACTATGAAGCAAACATTTTGATTTTGTGAAGACACGGTTTATTGCCTTATTCTATGTTATAGCTGGAAATTGAGACTTTTTCGTTAGATTTGTTTGACACAGGAATAGATTTTCTTTGAAAGACTGACAAAGTTTATCTCAG